GCTGCCGGCCAGGACACAGGTCAGTCTGGGGTGTGCACTAAGGCCACAATCCTCCAGACCCCTGGTCTCACAGAGGAGGGCTAGAGACTCATGCCGGGCCACACTGTGAGTGACAGTGCCCAGGGGACTGGAAGCCAAGCCCCTGTGCCCAGTCCAGGCTGCCTCCCTGTGCGACAGGCTCCTCTATATTCCTGAGAAGTGAAAAGGGTTGGGACTCCTCTCGGGCCTCTCCCAAACCTGGACAGCAGCAGTGGTCTCCCCGGCAGCTCGGGGCTTCTCTGGGGTCACCTGAGGGAGGGCCGCCTCCTCCCCTCCCTCCACACCCCTCCTCTCAGCCAGGCCCCCGCAGGGCTCCCTCCCCTCAGCCAGGATCAGTCCATCCCACCTCCTAATCCTCAAGTAGTTATTTCTGACTTCCCAGCTGTCTGCAGACCCCTCGCTGCCGCCCACAACCTTCCTCCAGGCTGCCTTTCTGGATTAACTGCCCGGCTTCCACGTTTCCTTTATTTCCGCTGCTCTGTGGCCTAAGTGCGTGCGTAGGTCACTGTGCCCTCCTGGGCACCTGTTTGCCTGTGTCTCTGACGGATGATTCGTTCCTTCAGGGTGTGATCAGCTCCCTCGTCAAACTGAGTGGGTGGTTTCCCCCTCAGACTGGGAGCTGCTGTAGGGCAGGGCCGGTTCCTCTTCCATCAGACGGGGACCTCCCCATGGGCAGGGCGCTGGCAACTTGAACCTTAAGCTCCGTCTTAGCCCTGAGACTCCCTGCCGCTCTGGCACACCTGGGGAGTTATCATTCCCATCCCCCCTTCGCACCTTCACTGTGCTCCCCCCACCCCCCAACATGGAGAATCCCCAGCTCCTGGGAACGGCTGCCCAGGGTGGCATGAAGGAGAGGATGGCAGAGCTGGCAGAGCTTGGAGGACTCTGACCCGTGCCTCTCACCCCACAGCACCCATCTCTCTAGGAGGTGGAGGGTGGAGGGTGGAGGGCGGGAGGTGTGAACTGGCAGGGCTGGGTGGTGCCCAGGGCTTTACACCTTGAGACCTGAGAACCATCACGTCTGAAGGCACTAAAGGGACCATCTGGCCCCTGGAATCTGGTGGAGGATCTTGACTTGTTCCAGACATAGGCAGGGCCGGCCTCATGGCCAGGTGACCAGGCAAGGACAGAGTGAGACCTCCCACCAAGCCCCTGGACTCCCACTTGGTACTCTTGCCATTGCATCAGAATAATTCTCTGAACTCCAGATCCCCACCAGGGAAGGCAGGGTGAAGATGAGGAAATTGGAGCCAAGGTAACCTGGGTTTGAACCCTGGCTCTGCTATTTAAATGTGCTGTGTGGCATGAGATAAATCATATAACTGCTCTGAGCCCCAGTTTTGTCATCTGTAAAATGGGTGTAATAATAGCACCTACCTTACTTGGTTACCCTGAAGAATCGATGACGTGATGGATCTAAAGTGATTATTAGAGCGTCATGGGCTCTCAGAAAAGGTTAGTAATTGTTATTTCGTACCCCTACTTCCTTGGTCAGATTAATGGCAAGGATCTGAACGACACTGGGCAGGCTACTGTGGCAGGAGTGTGCACATAGGGATGGCCTCCGCTTCCCAGTGTCTCTTGCGACTGAAGGGGCAACCAGTGTCCCAAGGGAGAGCACAGGTGCTGGTTCATACCCACCCGCCTTCAGTGGGCATCTCTGCTTGTGCTCCCAGCTCTCCTTACAAGCCCAGCTCAGCACCTTGTTCAGGAAAGCCCTGTGGTCCTCTGCTTGAAGGTGTGACTAAGAGAGGGTTGGGTGACTGGCTTTGGAGACACTTAGCTGGGGATGGAGCTCCCAGGAGGGGAGGGAGCACAGTCCATTCAACACTGGCAGAGAGGCCTTAGGCTTGTAGTATTCCGCCTGCCCCCAAACACTGACCACGAATTAAATCTTAAGTGGGGGTCCCCATCACTGAGGGCATCAAGTCTTTAGAGACCCCCTCCCTACCCTCCCATCTCCGAATCTCTCCAACCTCATCCCCTTTCAATCGTCAATGGGGCTTCAGGATGCAGCAGAGAGAGGGTAGGCTGGTAGCTGCCTCCCGGGTCACGGCTAAGCTGGAGACCACGGGCCCGCTCCTGCCCTTTCTGTGCTCCCGACTTCTCATCTGTAAGACGGGAGTAGTGATGCCTCTCTCTCTCTCTCTCTCTCTCTCGGCACTCGTTAGCGATACAGGTGCTGAAACAGCGGGGCCTCTCCGGGGCAGTCAGTGGACACGCCTTGTCGCGGTGACTTGCATGTTTGTAAGAAGCAGCCACGAGCGTCCAGAGCTGGGGATGCTCTGGCGGAAGGCCCCACAGCAAAGGCACAGTCAGATCCCGGGAGCCCCTGCCCCCAGCTTAGGAACTGCCATCACTGCCAGTGGGTTTCCTTCTCTGGCCCATTCAGTGTATTTTCTCCACTTGGCTCCCTGAGCAGACGCCTTCTCTCCAGGGGGCAGATCGAAGGTGCTTGTCCATTATCTGTTGAAGACGGGCATGGGGGTGCGTCCGGGGCTGGCGTGGGGAGGCTGGCCGTGTGGGGCTGGTGCAGGGGGCTGGTGCAGGCTCACGGCCGCTTGTCCGGATCTCCGGCTCTGCCTTCGCCAGCCCTGGCTGTCTGAGGAGGCTCATTTTACCAGCAAGCTGATTCATGGGCCTGGTTCCCGGTGCTCCCAGAGCAGCTCTCTGTCAATAACTATTCTTTATAAGGTCCCTCGATTCGTTTTCGGGGTTGAAGACAAATTTTTAAAGAGGAGTTCAGGGCCAGGGCCATTCCAGAGGGGCTGTTAACTTAATGTCCCGCCGCGTGCCTCCACGCCGGCTCCCTCCTGAACTGCGTGGGGGTCAGGCCTTGGCCGTTTCCAGCAATTGCCTCTGAGCCCTGGCATCTGGGCAGGGAGTGAGGCATGACGAGAAGGGGACACAAATCACGGGTCGGGCAGCGGGCCCCGTCGCTAGGTTGGCTGTGGAACTTCCGGCCAGTGGTACCCTCTCTGGGTCCTCACGTCCCTGTGTGTGACGCCTGGATGCGGACAGATACCATCATGACGGCGTCCACTGTCTCCCCTGGAGGGGCCTGGTCCCCCAGGTTCATTGGGAAGGTCTCTGCCAGGCAGCAGCTCAAGTCTCCTCCCCGTCGTCCCCCTGGGGGATCAGCAGTTGGCAAAGTCTGCAGCTGAAAACCAGCCACGCACCAGGTCTCCATTCCCGCAGCGCTGGCCCTCCTCCTTCCTGCTGCAGTGTCTTCCTAACGGGCTTCTTGCCCTTTCCATCCTTCCTTCCTTCCCCCAGGGAGAGGGAGATGATCTGAACCTCGGGTCTGAGCCTGACTCCCAACTCTATGCTAACCCCCCCTTCTCCCCCGCCTCCGTACACATACACTCCCTCTGGCCTCCATGCCTTTGACGGATGTGCTCATATTTCCCTATCCCCAGGGTCTCCTGCTCCAGGCAGGGGGCAAGCACGTGCGGAGACAGGGAAGCAAGAGAAAGCACGCGGTGTCAGGTCTGCAGCCTCTGGGCCTGCACACCCGCCCTCCTACCTTCCTGGGATGTCCTTGGCCCCGTCCTCAGCAAATCCGGTTTGAAAACGTCTCCTTCTCCCCACTGTCCCCCACCAACCCAGGGCAAAGCCACCACGGAGAGCATTCATCGTCCCAGTTGGCCGTGGTCGGCTGACTTGCCCATCTTCCCCGCAGAGCTGGGGCTCCTCCCATACTCCCCGGCAGGGCCTAGCACACAGTAGGAGCTTTCTGTGTTGCATAAACAAATGGAACCGTGTTCCAACTTTAGCACCAGCACCCCCTCCCATGCGCACACACCCAGGCTAGAATATTCCCTCTTCCTTGACTCGCACCTATGCCCCATCTCTCTCTGTAATTGTGACCTTCCGCACTGATCACGTGGTAAGATGGCAGGGCATAGAAAATCCCCAAATGCAGAACAGTGAGAAAGCCATCTATAGTTTTTGTTTGGACTTTAGTCGGCAA